CTTTAAACTGAAAACCCACGCAACCTTATGTATGGCGAGTACTGCACCTCCAATTTTTCACATCTGCCCTTTTGGATACGTCCTTCAGGTATTAAATAAAGACATTGTATCAAGGTCTGACAATTATTTGAGAAGTTTTATACTTTTAAACATATTGGAAAAAATCAACCTTTTAGTCGCTAGTGCGATACAATCTGGCATACTCTGAAAATGTATTGCATAATCTCTTCAAATTCCCCAACTACCGTGCAGGCCGATAATACTTTAATAGCACACTAGTTTGAATTAATTTGCCTTTGCTCATTTTTGTCGATAAATGCAATTGAATAGTAGTCACGGTTTTCCTATACAGGACATGGGAATAGAAATGTTCCGCTTGCATAATATAGCTGGCCGGGCGAGAGATTTCCCGAAGAGTCAAGATTCCATGTCTTAACCCTTACATAAAACAAAACTACAACCTCACTCTTAACGCCAGTTGTGCCTTAAACCAAAAGCTTATACGAATGAAGGAGAACGTTCGCGCTCCAGGTATTTGCATGGGTAAGGAAGAAGGATCGTCGAGCACCGGATCACTTTTTTTATTGTCCTGAGCCTTCGAACTCTTACAGGAGTCCATCGTCAGAGATAAGGAACAGTAACGAAAGAGGGGCTAGTTATAGTGTGTGTACACTAATCAACTGCCAAAGGTCATTATGTCGCGAGGGCTAAGAAACCGCAATGAAAAGGGGAGGGGGGTGGGGCAATTTACCGTCAGTGATTCCAACGTTCAACAGGGCATCAGCAAGGAAAATGGGACAATTATAGAGGATGTGGGCCCGACTAATTGTGACAGGCGTCTGGCCGTGACTGTACGTAATTGAGCATGGCTCTGCACCCCGGCGCCATTACGACACATCGCTTGACTGAATTCCCGTCCGTGGGCCAGGCTTCAAACAATTCCCTGCTCGTCTTATTTCCGACGTGGGTGAGTACCTTGACGGCCGCGAAGTTGAACTCATGGCCTGTTTCATAGGTGTGA